AGCTAATAGAGGCCCGAAAGGGAAGCCCATAGCAACGTCTTCTGTTTGTCTACATGGTCGGTTGTCAAAAAGGAACTTAACATTTAATGTGCACCTTAGTAATTGTTCCTTTTTTGCATTCGTTTGTATTGCTACTTCTATCTGACTTGCCACTAGAATTTCGCATGTGGTATCGACAGTCTCTGTGACAGAGACATTTGTTATTAGCTATGAGACGTCTATAGAAAACATCATCATGATTTTTAAGTTCACGTTTTTGAGGTCGTCGGTAAATTGGAACGTACCCTGATAGCTACGTGGTGCTAGGTGCTCCTGTGTGAGTTTCAGATACTCTTCTAACCGCTTCGCTATCACATGATACTGTGAGCTTCGCATGTCCAAAATCGAACGAACTGGCAGGCTTCACTTATAAATCTTAGGTGTACCATACAGACTGGAAATGTGCGTGGCTACTGACCGGAAGTACTGAAGTCACGGTTGCTCATGAATTCTGCACTGCACAGTCTTCTTAAGCAGTCGGTCAGCTGAACCTCCACTTAATATGTGCAAACTTTTTCCCTATCTAATTTCTGACATTTCGTCTGGCGTGATATTATGGTGTGCATCTTTATAAGGTACGCCAATCTGTTTATTTATACGACGCCCTGTACACTGTCTGGTCGACGTTCAAATATATATTTATTCCATCGTATCTATTTTAAATTTTCGGCGTGTGTGTTTGCCAATAATTGCTGACTGGTTAATCTCCTGTTCAGGTACGTTTCACTACAATTTACCAGTTTTGATTAAAATGCTGGACACTACCTGCGAAAATCGGCTTGAGGTCATAAAGACTCCTGAACTGGATTACTTTCTCTAATGTATTAATCTTCCTACGAGGCATGCAACAGTAAGAATGCAATGATAATGCCTCAGGTGTGGTTTGCTTTCGTGCACCCTTTGGAGTAGTTTATATGGGACGCACGATTTGGCACATATCCAAAAGAGTACGAGAACACCTCCCAGTTCGGCTGAGCAAAGGTAAATTTAGAAGTCTCAACAGTGTCTTTCTTGCCCAAATGGTTGGCTCGAGACATCATGTGGACCCTACCGAAGCACTCAGTGTGACTTACAAGGTCTAACTGAAGTTCGCAAAATATCTGAGTCAGCATTTGTAAGCAACAGCAGAAGCAACCGCCTTCTCACTGAAAACTCTTATCGTTCGTCAAAAATTGGATTAGAAAACTGCATGTAATACGCCACTACTTTGCACCAATGCGCGTATCGTTTGACCAGAAGACTTTGCAGCAAAATCGTCATTCTGTCGGAAATTTCGGCTTTACCTTCTTATCTTAAGCGACCTAAATACGTTCTCTAGCTCCTACTTCAAATTTTGGAGCAGCAGCTGCAAATAGTTTGGTTCATTACCTCTACGCAATGAAAATAAACAATGCAATGTGTTGGTAGTGCATGTGTGTTCAGGAACCTTGGAAGTCGAACGATCTCACCCGCTCATTTTTGAATATGAATAGGTCTGTATGTACATAAATAATTTTATGTGTAGGCATTACCGGTAAAACATTGGGACTTGCATGATGCGTATTTCGACCTCACTAGGTATCAATAAATGCAGATACCCACCTCCAGTGTAGCCGCGGAAATTACCACCACACTCGAGATTCAAACCCGCGTCTCTCGGGTAAGGGGCGAACGCCCTAACCATTGAGCTATCGGGCTCGACGTTTTCCATTTAGCATTTGTGACATTCTACACAACAGAAAACCTAACTAATACAGGCGACGAGTCGGCTCCCCATTTGGGGAGGCTGTCCACCAAGGGGTTTTTATGGCCGGGCCTGCATATCGGACGGGTGACGTAACCGTGAAAATAAATTTTTAGGATATACTTCTCTTACGTTGGCCAAGTATTTTCTGTCGGTAAAAATGACTGTATGGTGTTTTTGTGGGATTATTCATTTCATATTTAGCACAGAAGGAAACGAAAGGTGAAACACATGGATGCAGATTTTGTCATAATGATGGCTACGGCCGCGTCGTAGAGGGTTAAAGTTATGCCCTTGCGGACGGCATCGGTCCAGACTGAAATTTTCTTGAACGATATTTACAAGAAAAGCTTGCAAATGCCAGCCAATGACTTGCGTTTGCTATGTGATGTTTTATTTTTCTATGACCCTTTCCTGGAGTGTAAATGAGCTCCGCAACAATTGGCGAACGGTTTTCAGCAAAGTGGAATTTATCAGCAAGCATATTTTTTTCGAAAGCCTGTCAAACGCTGTTGATATCGACAACATTCTTTCACCATTTCAGAATTCAGGGAGAACTGATAAGATTGTGCAACATTTAGTATGAAAGAGTTTACAAAAGGCTGTAGAGTAAAGTGTTGCCGGCAGTCTACTCAGCTAGTCGTTGTTGTGTGTGCGCGCAAGATTAGAGGACGATAGTGTCCGAGGGGCGTTAATCGGGTAAAAGCATGGTCCGGAATGTTAGGAATGTTGAGAATGCCGCAATTTCCATAATGAGTCAACGCACGATGGAGGAACTGTGCGCGGACTTGAAGCTGCAGCTGCAGCTGATGGAAACCCTCACCACCAAACTATCCACATCCTCCACGGGTCAATCGAGTTCTGCTGGTGGCTCACAATACATCCATTACATCGCAAGCAGCATATCAAAATTCCTATATGGTCCGCAGGCCGAATGCGGTCACAACAGCTAAGCCACCTTCGGTTTCGCGTCCCTCGTCAGCCCCCAAGGAGAAATCCCCGACCTCTCCTCGTCGGCATTGTAACCCGTGGAATTTCCATCGGGACTGTAAAATTTGGCAATATCGCTGCCAGGAATGTGAACAGATGAGGCACCGTGAGGTGTTTTGCCGAGCCTCACCTTGCGCAAGCCTTTATGCCCCCGCCAATTCCC